TTTTGCCCACATAACTTTGCATTTACGAGTATTTGTATGCGCTTATGCAACAACAACATGTGAGTAAAACAAAATAGTAACGAATCCTTCATAACTTTTCACAAAACAACGTATGACCTTTTCCACCGACCTCCAGCACAGCTTTTAAAAATAAATAAACGTATGTAACAGTATGTGTGTGTATATATGTACGTATGTGTGAAACTAAAAACTTGTCTCGAGCAATACCTGCAGACATTTCAACAATTTGGTAATAAAAGGTGGAGTTTGGGCGGAGTTAAAAGAAAAGTTTTGGCAAATTTAAATAATTTCAACATCCTTTTACGCATATCATTAAATAAAAACACACAAACACACAGCCACACACATATGATATACATGTATGTAGACTTCTAATATACTCATACTGAATGCTCTTAAGCAAAACCGGCAAGCAAAGCAACCAACAACCAACAGCTGGACGCGGCCAGTAAAGCTCTCAGGTCCTTTTTTATCTTTGGCGCACACACATTCATGCGTCAACAGCATTATCCTTCATCACAGGTCCATTTTGTAAGGGACACTAACTCACTCAGGCGTACACTCATATGCTAATGTACATTTAAATATGTGAAATGTATGGATGTAAAAGTATGTATACTTATGCATATACATATGTACATACATATGTACGAGTACAAGTGTGCCTAAGTATATCATTTTCAAACAGCTGCACATTTAAATGAAATCAAATAAAATGACATAAAATAAATTCTAGTCCACACCAACATTTAGACATATGTACACGTACATATATAGCCTATGAAAAAAATATATGAGTATGTGTGGGTGTTCATTTTTAACCCCACGAAACTATGAAAACACTCTCTGGCAGGCAATATGTGTTCCAGCGCCAACTTTGGCTGCAACTACCCAACGCGCGTACCAGCCGTCCATAGTAACCTATCTTATGAGAGCGCCATGTAAAACCGCTTTCCCATAGCGCTGCTGACGTTTGTGTCGCAGAAACCAACGAAGTTTTGATTTTTCCGTAAAACCGGCTCGGCTCATTTTTCGTTGCTATACAAGGTTGCCAGCATAGCTTTTCTTAAAGTAACATTGAATGATCGAAGAAAATGCGTAGTTTAGTTCAAAAGAAATGAAAAATAAATGAGTAAATAATTATTTGTTATCATATAGATCATGTATATTTGTCTTGCGTTTATATTCAAGCATATAAATTATGAAATTCGTTGACGAAAATTATGAATTTGTTCAAAAGTGTGCAAACACACAGGCAGCTGGCAACATTTCTCAGCTCTCAGCGACGTCGATAAGTCGTGTGTTTATCTCGCCTCGACGTCGCCACTTATGGACGGCTGGTACGCTCGTTGGGTAGTTGCAGCCTTTGTCTTTTGCGTTAGACATAACGGCATTTCCTTCTCGCCCAACAACTCGTGCCATCAGTAATGTCTTCGGTTATCCACTGGAACATATGTATGCACACTCGTATGACGCTCGGCGTGTAACCGTTGTGATATTGTAGTTTGGCTGTATCCACAGACTCACCAACATTTCTACAATCTCTAATATATATTTAATGTTTTCCTTATCCTTCCCAGCTCCTCACACGTTTGATTTTCTACTTTTCTACTTTTCCACTTTTTTGTAAAGGAATTTTCGTGTTGTGTCCTTAAGCTGTATAAAGAAAGGCAAATGCGATAGACATTAGGTTTTTCTCTTAATGGCTTAATACGGGCAGCACAAAACAATGAATGCGAAGACTAAATGTAAATTGAAACTTCTAACGGATCTCAATTTACTCCGAAAGAATATTTTATTTTATTTAATATAATAATAATTGTTTTATTCTGTTTGCTTATATTTTTTTTTTCAATTTTATTTTACTTAATTTTTTTCACTTCATATGATTTAAATATTTTTTAATATTAATTATTTTATTATTTTAATTTTTTTTTTAATTATCATCTACATTTTTATTTATTATCTTATTTTTTTTAATAAATTATTAATATTATTTTTTATAATTTTTTTTAATTATTATCTATTATTTTTTTATTGCCTCTTTTTATTTTATTTATTTTCTTTTCCTTTTAGTTTTCCTATACAATGTTATTTTTTATATTTTACTTTATTATTTTATTTTTTGTTTTTTTATTTTATTTAAATAATTTTTTTTTATTTTACGAGTATACTAGAGTTTACCAGCGACTTCGTTCTCATGGAATTTCAAAATGCCTTTTATGTGGTTATCAAGGATGATCCATTTTGAGGTTCCCTTTCCTATCTTTTTTTAAAGAAAAAATTACAGAAAATTCAAATTTAATGGAGACTGTTTATTGTCATTCGAAAGAACATTTTTTGGCATTTATTTTTTCGAAAGTAACTCTTTTAAATGTTGGCCGCGGCTACGTCTCAGATGGTACATCCCTTGAGTCCAATTTTCAATGACTCGTTCGAGCATTGCGTCTGGCAACTGGCGAATGACATGCGTGATGTTTTGCTCCAAGGCCTGAATCGAAGCAGGATTGTCCACATAGACCTTAGTATTTACATATCCCCACAGCAAGAATTCTAACAATGTGATATCACCTGATCTGGTGGTCAATCGGCCAGCCCAAAACGTGAAATTATCCGATCATCGAAATCTTCTCTCAATAAATCCATTGATTGATGCGAAGCGTGGGAAGTGGCGCCGTCTTGTCAAAACCAAATGTCGCCGAAATCACGAGCTTCAATTTCAGGCATCAAATAGACGGCTATCTTGGTGCTATGACAGTCGCCATTGACAGTCCCGTTCTTATCGGCATAATTTTTGAAGAAATATGCACCGATGTTTCCATCGGCCCACAAACCACACCAAACCACCATTTTTCTGGATGAAATGCCAGCTCTTGAATATTTTCTGGTTGCTCTTCGCCCCAGTGCGCCAATTGTTGAGATACCCATTGAACCAGAAATCGGCCTCATCGCTGAGCAAATTTTGCCTCGAAAACGTGGGATCTTCTTGGAACTTTTTAATAGTCCATAGAGCGAAGCCATGTCGCTTGGAAAGGTTGAGCGTTTTCAGGTCTCACACAAGCTAAATTTTGGACGCTTTCAAGATCTAAACGTAAAATCGATTTACACGTAAAAACGAACAATTAAGTCGACGAATCGACTCTCCACGGTCTTCGTGTACACCCTCAGCTAGGGCCCCTGAGTCGGCCGATTATTTTAGCCATAAGTTGAGCGGAACGCGCGAAACACATTTTCTGGAACTGAGCATTCCACAAACTTCATTGCATCGTATTTGGAACAGAGACTTGGGTCGTAAGGCTTATAAAGTTCAGTTGGCACAAGAACTCAAGGCGGCCAATCATCAACAACGTCGTGTCCCTGCCGATTGGGTACTTGAGATGCATGAAAATTATTTGGAATTTCATTGAAAACTCATCTTGACTGATGAGACTTATTAATACTTATACTTAAAACATAAAAAAAAAAAACTTTTTATAATGTAGGTGTTTAAAGTTTAAGTAAACAGGAACTTAAAATAAAATTCCGAAGTATTTTTGAGAACGTGAAGCCCTATACATATCGCAGCATTTCTTCGTAGACAATTTTTTTTATTTTTCCAATTAGGTGCAAGAATCCCCAGGCTACTCCTTGACCTTACTTTGGGGCATTCACATTCAACTGGCCATGGGAGAAGCATCCTTCTCTCGGGTCTACTTCTATTATCTTAAAATTATGGCTTACAGCTTTTGAGCTTGAGCTTATCTATGTATGACAAAGTTTTAGTTAAAAGTTATTCTTACTTTTTTCTATTTTATTTTTTTTTTAATTCATTTATTTTTTTTTTTTAGTTTATTAAATTTTTTTATTTTTATACTATTTTTCTAATTTTTTTATTTTATTTTATTTGATTTTATTTTATGTTGTTTCATTTTACTCAATTTCATTCTAGTTTTCTTTTACTATTTTTATTTTTTTTTTTTATTATAATAATTTATTTTATTTTAATTTCTTTATTTAATTTTATTTCATTTTGTTTTTTTTCTTTATATTATTTTATTCGATTCCATTTAACTTGAATTAATTTTATTTGATTTTTCTTGACTTTGTTTTATTTTTTTATTTGATTTCATTTCATTTTATTTTATTTATATTAATTTTATTTTATTAAATTTTTTAATTTCACTTTATTTTATTTAATTTTATATCATTTCATTTTAATATAGTTTACATTTTTTTTTAAATCATAAAAACTTCATTCTTTAATTATTTTTCTAATGTTATATTATTTATTTTAGTATACTCTATTTTATTATGTATATTATTATATTTTGCTTTAATTCAATTTATTTCTTCTCTAATAAAAAATTTTTTTAGTTGAATTTGCTCAAATAAATTAAATTTTTTATTAAAGTATTTCATTTCACTAAGTTTTTCTTTCATTCAACTTTTAATTTATTTTGCTTTATTTATAATTTTCCTGATTTTATTACACTTTATTTTAATTTAATTTTTTTTTTACTATTTCACTTTTAATTTTATTAAGTTTTTGTTTTCTATATTTAAGCTGTGTTGCTTACAGAGAACTTAAATAATAGATTTTCTGCTAAAAAACAGCAGAAAATTCATTCCGATCATATCTCAGCATACTTTTCATAATCGCCCATAGAACTAAAAAACTGCGGTCGTTTAGAAGTTTGCTTAATTCTTTCCCCCAAGACAATTTTTTGCGACATCTATCGGTAACGGGTGCGATAAGGTTAGGTACTTGGCTTGACTAATGAAATAATAATAAATTCACTTGCATCTCTTTCAATTTCTGTGTGGTAGACAACCGTTTATTTCAATTTAAAACTGTTCGTAATTCTGTTTTTTAATTTCCTTAACTAGTTTGAAAATTTTTGAAAATTGTATTGAATGATTTAATTTACCTATTTGCTTGAGAAAATGCAACCCAGCGCGTTTTTCGAATTCCCTTTCATTGTTTTGTTCATTCCATTTTGTGTTTATTCGCGATTATTACCTTTATCAATTAAACAAGTTGCGCTTGCGCACTTTTCGCTTAATATTTTACACGTTTGTTGTCTTTTCAACTTTTATATTTCTGCCTTAATATTTTTTGTCTCAACTTTCACTTTGTGTTGTGAGTCCGCCGTGTGTGTGCAGTTTTAACTTGATTGTGGAATTCAATCAAACAAGGTCAGCGGAAAAGAAGTCCAAAAACAAATCGTACGCGTCAAGAATATTAGAATTCTTACCAATTTCGTGATACCAAGTCTATAAAATCATTAATACAGAATTATAGTGTTTAGCTGTGATGAAAGAAGCCAGCAAATTATTGCTTACTATTCGCTAATTAGGAGTGTATAATAAATGTTATTGTTGTTGCACAAGCAGCAATTGGATTTTGTGGGAGCATACAACACAATACGCAGCTACAGATAGTGGTTTTTGGTAGTGGTGGTACGTGGATAGCTAAAGAGCTGAAAATTTTCATTAATTTGTTTATTGCATGAAGCAACAGGTGTTCTGTGTTGGTAGCAGTAACTCAACGCAATGACCTCACGATATGAGCGCATCAAAGCTGATTGTGTGGCACGTAAGGTCCTCTGGGAGGACCCTGATTTCGCGGCCGTGCAATCATCAGTTTTCTACTATCAAACACCACCCTTCACATTTCAGTGGCGACGCATAGCCGAAATCGCAGATACACAGCAAGCATGTTTTGTTAATGAAGGCGAAAACTTTGACGTCATCCCGGGTAAAATGGGCGACCGTTGGTTGGTCTCGTGCTTGGGCGTATTGCATTCACTGCGCAATCTTTTCTATCGTGTTGTGCCCGCAGATCAGAGTCTGGACAAAGCACACGGTGTATTTCGCTTCCGTTTATGGTGGTGTGGTGAATGGGTAGAAGTGCTGGTAGACGATCGACTGCCCACTATCAATGGGCGTTTAGCCTTCTTACAGCCACAGACATCACACTGCTACTGGGCTTCACTACTGGAGAAGGCCATTGCCAAATTACACGGCTCTTATGAGGCACTAAAATATGGCACACGTTCAGATGGACTCAGTGATTTACTTGGTGGCGTGGTGGAGTGCATACCATTGAAAACAGGCACGAATGCCACAGATCTTTTGCGTCCACAGCAGTTAAAATCACATCTGGAAACTACCTGTATCGTAACTTGCATAGTGGCGACCGGCGCTACGGCGAGTGGTCAACATAAAAACACTGCTGAGCGCTTGGCGAACGGTATCGCTTTCAATGTCAACTACAGGTGAGTGTGCGCACATGCGTAGGTGGACTGGTATAACTTTATTAATTTTAACACCTAGTAACAATATACATATAGACAAGCAAACATAACAGCTTGATCTAAATTGATTGCTTGCCTTTTTCATAAATTTTCATTCTTTTTTGTAGACTTTCTTCGTTGGACAAAGTTGAGACGCTGTTAGGCGATGCTGTGCAGTTGGTGCGTTTGAAAGATCCACTCGCGTGCAATGGTTTCGACAACACTACGGTCTTCGAAGGTGACTGGTCGGCAATGTCCGCCTCGTGGGAACGTGTTTCGGTGCAGGAGCGTGATCGTCTCTTTGGCCAACTGGATGTTGGTGAATTTTGGATATCATTTCTCGAATTCACACAGACCTTCACCAGCCTCGAATGCATTTATCTGGACGCTGATACAGCCAAAGATGAAATAACACTACAAGAACGCCCTAAACGTTGGCAAATGAAAATGTTTCAGGGCCAGTGGAAGCGTGGCGTTACAGCAGGCGGTTGCCGCAACCACGAATCGTTTCACATTAATCCACAACTACTGCTTAACATACAAGAAAAGCAGGAAGTTGTGGTGGCCCTAAATCAACACACTGCTGTAGAACCCAAAGTTATAGGCTTTACAATGTACAAATTAAGTGGCGTTGCCAATGGCGGTAAGGGCAAATTCAGCGAATGCCTGCCGAAGGACTTCTTTAAAACACAAGTAAGCTTCTTAAACTCGGATTACGGCAATACACGACACGTCAGTTATCGCTGTCAGTTGGAGGTGGGTCAATATGTGCTCATGCCTACAACATATGAGCCCGGTGAAGAGACCAGCTTCACTGTACGCTTCCTTGGCACAGCCGCCTTACGGCTATCATTGCTCGAAACCCAAACCATGATGCTACTTGACCCTTTCCCTGCACTTAAAAATGATGTAGAGCCAAATAAAATAAAAAATGTCTGCCAATACGAGCCCGTCTTTATGCAATTGGCGGATGAGAATAAGACGATAAACTGTTTTGAACTACACGAACTGTTAGAGGCGTGTTTGCCCAACGATTACATTAAAGGCTGTGCCAACATCGATATATGCCGTCAAGTCATAGCCTTGCAAGACAAAACTGGCACCGGCCGTATTAACTTTCTGCAGTTCAAGACATTTATGGTTAATTTGAAGTCATGGCAGGGTGTATTTAAAATTTATACAAAAGAAAAGGCGGGTATTTTGCGTGCGGAACGCTTGCGCGATGCACTCTATGATGTGGGTTTCCAATTGAGCACGGAGATAATGAATTGCCTGATGCAACGGTACATACGGAAGGATGGTACACTGAGACTGAGTGATTTTGCTTCGGCCGTGCTGCATTTGACGGCGGCGTTCGACTACTTTCAACGCAAAGACCACAATCAGGATAATGTTATCGAAATTGAAATGTCGGATTGGATAAAATGTGTGCTGAGATGTTGAGAACTGTGGAAGCCGAGTTTCGTTATGATGATTTTTGAAACGGCGCCGTTTTTAGTTTTTAACTAACATTTTACTTATGTTTTTTTTTTCTTCTCGCGAAATTATAACTTTCTTCCTGAGCTTAGTTCAATTTATAAGTGCAATTCCGACGTACCTTATCAAAAAAAAAAACAGTGGAATGTTGAAAGCTGTTGATTTTTTTTTTGTTTCGAAATATAACTGCTGGTGGTAAATATGATTAGTAAATGTGAAACTTTTTGGGAAAATATATAAAATATTTAAAGCCTAAGAATTATACAGAGTACGTAGTGACGTTCTCCGGTTTCAGAAATATTTCAGAAATCACTTATTTATACATTCTTTTGCAACAACAACACCAGTGTAGTCCTAAAATATGAGTAGACAAAATAAATATTGTTGTTAACACATTTTTATTATAAATACACACACACGCACATACTTATGTTTAACACTAGTGCATATACATAAATGTAAGCAAAACAAAAATCTCATAATTCCCGTTGTAATAAATTTACAATAATTTAAAATATGAATATGTTTGTATTCGCATTTGTACTCGTTATTAAAATTTGTATATATGTATATCTAAACATTTTCTAGCATCTTTTCAAAACTCTTCGCCCTTCTCGCCATCATCACCACGACTTATCGTCAACGACAACCACACTCCTTAGCGACAATTTGCGAGAAACGCATCAAATTAACGCTATCTTCATTCACCGAATACAATATGGATATGGAGGCCAACTTGATTGGCACGCAACATGGTTTTGGTAAATTTGTACGCTTCAAATGCATCAGCGTTTGCACAATTGCATGATTGGTAGCATTGTTCATTGGTGTGCCCAAGGGGAAATTACATTCACCTAAGCAATAGAAAGCTTCAAAGGCCTTTGGTGCAATCACTGACTTTTCCATGCCTAAATATTTAAAATCCAAGGTGAAATTACGTCGCTCGCAAGCCTTAGGTTCTTCCATCGCTTCCCGGTTGACTGTATGCTGCAATGAAGGTGGCAAATTTCGAAATGAGTCAGCATGACGTTGACGCCTCTTCTGTTGCCTGGCACGCCGTTGCATTTTTGACATCAAATCTGGACCATTGAAGTAACCGATAATGAAGGGTTGCAGCTCGAGTAGGGTCGGATGCGTATGTACGCTCACTAAACCCACATCACTTGCTGCCACTTGATGTAGTTTAATGCCACCGCTAGCAGTTGTTGTTTGCATTATAACACCAATAAGTAAATCATTACCGTAAATTATTTGTTTCAGTGTACGTAGACGAAGCCATTGATTGAATAGGTTTGTCACATTCAATTCCAGCCAACCTTTAAAGCTGGTGGTGGCATTTTCAGCACCGACCAATAGCAAATAATCGCCGACAGGTTGATAGGCGTAGATGGTATAGTTTCGCGTGCTTGCCATGGCGTATTCGCCCAGTTGTGGATCTTGGAACAGACGTATGGCGGCATGTGCTAGCTCCAGATCGATTGGTATATCATTCAAATTGAAATTCAACAACATATCACCCAAAAGGGCAGAGCTCGTTTTAAGCGTTGTTCCTGTAAACAAAGGAGAGCATGAGTGGGTAAAATTTTGGTTTCCTCAGCTTTTACGTACCTCTACTTGCAAATGTGATTATATTATTGCTTAACTCAATCTCTCTGCGATCGAAAGGTGTAATGAAACTTTCATCAGCCAGTGCCCGTCTATATCGTGTTTTATGCACCTGCTGCACAACTTGAGGCAAATTCTCCTCATCTTCGTCACTGATTTGTTTGTAGACTTCAAGCAAAAATTTTGCTGCTGAATTGCTTTATATTAAGGAAGCAAAATAATTTAACTTTTCTTTAATTTCATTTTAGTTTAGTTTCACTATAAATACTCACCTCAACGATGGTTGTCTCTTAAGTCGTACACTAGCCGGTCCAAGCCCCAGTAAGTCCGCCAGTTGAGCCATTTCATCTGGGGGATTTCTCTCCTGCGGCAAAGTCAGTGCTAAGTAACTAGCAAATATTAGTATTAACAAAAAAAAATTACGTTGTGACATATCCTTTTTTTTTTTTTTTTTTTTTGAATTTTGAATTTTCGCGCGCATGAAACCTTCACAATGCACTGTTCTTTCTATACTGAATGCAGTTTTGCGGGTAAATATAGCAAAACACAACTGAGGATTACCGCAAGTAGAATTCTTAATTGCAGGTAGCAAACAGCGGAAATTAGAAAAAGGACTACTTAAATGCGCGCAAACATATACATACATATATCTGCATATGTAGGGAAACAGCGATTTTTAATCCCTTCATTTGTTGAACAGCAAAAATTTATGTTAAGGTTATTTAAGAAAATATTTAGCAAAATAATTTACAAAAATTAATCAGTTATTTACCTTGTGTGTATATATATTTGAACTTTTTTGTTTAAAATTTCTCAAAATTATATTATACATAGTTTTCAATTTATTTTACAGTTTAAACTTAACAAAATTATTAGCATGTAATCCTAAATTTCCGCTAAAGGCATTATATAGAACTGAACATACACCTCTGCTTGTTCTTCGGATTGCATCATAAAGTGCATTTCCAGCAGACCACTCGAATCCGTTTTTATTGCCACCTTTGACGCCGCCGCCAACGCTTTATGCGTTAAACGCATCTCTGTATTACGATAGCATGCCGAAGTGGTATCACGACAGTTGAACAACATGATCATATCACTAGTTTTGGCAACTTCAACAAACGTCTCTGTTTTAACTACACCCAAAGTTTCAATTTTGAAATGCGGTTGACGCGGTGACAGAGTTATTCGCAGCTCATCGGCCGCTTTATTCAACTCTTGAAAAATATTCGCCAAAGCAGGACCACGCACAAAAACAACATTTAAAGTACGACTCTCCTCATCAAGATTGTAATCAATTACATCATCTATATTTGTAGTTTTGATGGAGCACTCTGCCGAGATGTCAGCCTCTTCATTTGGATGCAGTACTAGCACTAATGGTGCACCATCACCTTTATAGAACATTTTCAGACTGCATGGTATGCCGGCGAATAGACCCAAGCACTCGGATATGATATTCATATTGAGACCGAATGTCACCATATCTACGACATGAAATTCGGCGAAACATGAGGCGGTTATATAGAGATTAGCTTGTACACAGTTACCCTCTTCTACGGTGACACGCAAGCCATCTTCACTTACTTGGAATTTGCCATTCTGTTGAAGATGTGTGCATAAATATACAAATTTTAAAAGGCGTTACCTCTAATACTCACATTTTCGAAATTCAGTGCTTTAATGGCCGTGTAAAATGTTTTAATCTGATCCAAACGTGCTACAAATTTAAAATTTGAGTATTGACGTTGGGTTAACATTTTAAGATTCTTTAGTAGGCCTTTCTCGTAAAGCGTTTTTGAATGTTGCATTCGTCAGTTGTCGTTTCACTGATTTTCATTAAATATTCCTAAATAACTACTATCCATACGTTCTTTTAAATGTGAAAATTGTTCTTCGCTCACTGTTTCAATTTTATATGTTTTGGGTTGTGGGCGCAGCAATTGTGCCAAACGCAACGCTAACACGTGGGCACAAGTATAACTTCTTGTCAATTCAACACTTTGTAGTGTAGAACTGATAGGCTGCACTTCACTTGGCAAGCCCAAGACACGTTCGTTAAATTGTTTGCAGACACAGTAATTAATATGTGGATACAACCAGACTGAACTTTTATACGACTGTTGCTTTATTTGTATCTCTGCAATGGCGCAACTTTCAAAATGGTAAGAATATATGCTTTGTTCATCTAACATACACAATGCATCGACGAGTATATCACCCAAAAGTGCTTTCAGTTGAAGAAGCAGTTGATTTACATGTGCATCAGCGTCTAAAGGAATGTGAATAATTTGTTATTTTATTTTTATTAATGCCTGGTACATACTTGAGCCTCCATCCAATGCGCTGATGTTTCTTTCGTACTGCTTCAATACTTGCTCCACTAGCTTGATAACTATACGATTTTCCTTCTGCGACTCATATGCTTCTAATTGCATTTGATAAGAGTTAAGTGTTTTCTTATTTTAGTAATTCTTCAGAAAACGCTTTATTTAAATTTGAATTAAATATTTCAGTAAGATTTGTAAAATTAAATTGCCGGGCAAACAAAAGAGGCACGAGTAAATTATTTTATGTTTTCCTCATTTGCCTGTTTCGTAAACAAAGAAGTAGGGTTGCAGCGCATTCAACTTAATTTATCGATAACACGCCTTTTTATTTTTTTATCGACAGTTTATTGGGCCCGCTGAAGTGATTCTGCGTTGGATTTCGAGGCTGGCTATAGACGAATTTATCAGTGACCTCAAAGTTATGACTGTCAACAGTAACTACTTGTTTTATGACGGGAGATATATCGTCTTGTCTTAAGTCTGGAGAAAGCAGAACTAAATGCGCGATTGTTAAGTAACAGCCGCATAAGTTTTGCGGGGATACCAAATTCAGACATAGCGACGTAGAGGCAGGTCCTTTTCGTGCTGTCCAAAGTTGTTTTAAAGTCAACGAAGAGGTGGTGTGTAGCGGTCCTCTTTTCACGGGGCTTTTTCAAAATTTGACGCATGGTGAATATCTGATCAATTGTTGACTTAACAGGTATAAAGTCACACTGATAACGATCAATCATTTTGGCGTCGGCAGGCTTTAATCTTTCTCACAATACGCTCGACAGTACCTTAGAGGCGATATTAAGGAGGCTCATCCCACGACAATTGGCGCAGAAGGGGGTTCTCTTTTTCACGGATTAAGCTTACTTACATTCTATTCGTTCGCAAGCTTTTGTCCGACTATATTCTGCAAAGTAGCTGATGCATGCACCCTATCAGCTCTTCACTGTCACGTTTGAATAGCTCTGCCCCTAGTCCGTCAGTTCCTGCCGCTATGTTGTTTTTTTTACGGACGATTGCTATTCGAACTTTTTCATGGTCAGGTAATGGAACGTGGTTTCCATCGTCATCGACTGGGGTCTCGGGTTTACCATCCCCGGAAAATCTATTTTCACTGCTATTATGCACACTCGAGAAGTGTTCTCTCCATAAATTCAATATTTAATGGACATATCACCTCTTTGTGTGTCCTACAAGTTTGTGCTCCTGTATTGAAACCTTCGTAAGTCGTCGTATCTTCTGATAGTATTTTCGAGCATTACCCTTGTCGGTCAGCTTCTCAAGCTCTTTATACTCACACGTCTCGGCCTATTTCTTTTTTTGTCTGCAGACGCGTTTAGCTCTCCTCTTCATCTCACGTTTGTGGTCGGTCGCAACATTGCGAGGTAGGCAGCCTATTTTCTGCGACACGGCAGTCCTCATCGTACCAGCTGTTTTTGCCCACTTTCGAAATACAGTAGTTTCGTTTGCAGCTGTACGTAGGGAGTTTGCAATGGTGTCCAACAGCTCCCTTATGCCGGGTTGCTGATGAGTGCTCTCAGAGAGCAGGTGTATAAGTAGAGTAGAAAACCGCTCGGCAGTCTGCTGTGATTGCAGCTTTACAACGTCGAACCTTCCTTGGGTTTGTTGAAGGGCGTTCTTCGGTACAAAGATACTCGTGCGTATCTTCTCTGCGACAACATAGTTATCCGTGTCGCGGACATCTAAAACAAGGGATACATGTCTTCCGTCTCTCACAACATGAACGATCTGGCTGAAAGTTTTTTGATCTGGAGATAGCCAAGTTGCTGGGCTGGAGTATAGTACAATACTACATATTTCGGGCTCTGGCGATGTCGATTAGCCTCAACCCATTTGAGAACGTTTCGTCGTGGAGGCTGAATTTTCCGACAGTTGAGCCGAATATACCTTCTTTCCCCACCCTGGCGTTAAAGTCGCCGAGCACAATTTTGACATCGCGACGGGGGCAGCGCTCATAAGTATGCTTGAGGCGCTCATAAAAGGCAACCGGACCCGACATTCCTGGTGTATGGTCCTAAATCGTGATCCTTAACTCGTTTGCGGATGTCGTCATCGAAAGGGGGGTACAATTTTCATTGGAGTGGAAAAAATTAATAAAACTACTTTTCATTTTGAAGGGATATCGATGAATATATATACATATATTATTTTACTTATAAGAACATTAAAGTAAATGGAATCATTTTAAACTGACTAATTTCTATATTTCTCTAAATTTAAATTTAATTTGTAAAATCCTCTCATTAACTACATATACATATATATGTATGTACATTAAACATATTATATAACAAACACACTTTATAAAAGCATTTGATACGAACTTACGTAATAGACATTTTATTCATCTACCTACAGCTAGAACAATACTTAAGAACATACGTATGTATGTATGTAATACTATTTTCTTCAAAATAAAATTCTTACACAAATACAAATGTATATATTTTTGTCTAAAATTAATACAATAAAATTCTTAACTAAATCGGCGGAAAGACATAATCATCACTGAGACTGTTAATATCAACATAAGCCGAACTTGGACTCAACGCCTTGTAGAGTTCAGCAAATGTGGGACGATTTTCGGCATCTTCATCCCAACATTGTAGCATCATAGCGTATACCTGCTCTGTACATATGTCAGGTTTTTCCAGTCTTTTTCCAGATAGCAAAAATGGTATAAGCTCATGATTGCTAATGGTTGGATATGGTGAGGCGCCCAAAGTGCCGATCTCCCACAGAACGACACCGTAAGCCCAGACGTCGCTTTTGTTCGAATAAATATTATCGCGTATCGCTTCGATGGATAGCCAGCGCAGGGGTAACTGTAATCGAAGTAATATATGAATAGGGATTAAAATATAGATTTATTTTTTAGATTAAAGGGAATACGAAGAGCTTTTTTTGCATGCTTATGCTATAGACATCTTTCTTCGCAAAGTCGCAGCAGTTACTGATAAAAGGAGTACTCAAGAAGTGAGGTTTGTTTGTGCCTACCCCATATCCTGTAAAAATGAATGGAGGAGAGGTTGCATAGAAGATGCCGATACCAACTTAATCTTCGCCGGTGGATCTGAAATGGGCTGTGGGATGTCGACGTGGCTATAGTCCGAAGATCACAAAGTCTCCCTCACTTTGCGTCTACCAAATTAAGCCAACATTTTCCGATAGAAAAAAAGTCCTTTAGAGTTCTTGTGGTCTGGCAGCTCAGCTATAGTAACATTTTCGGTAAATAAAACGCTGACAAGTTGACAAGCAGCGACTCTTGACGTATCTGAATCTTCAGAAGATTTAACATTGAGTAGATGGAAATCCATATCCAGCTGCAAGATAACGAAATATATTTAACAATAGTTTGCCATGAAAGGTGAAACTCGGCTCAAAAGCGCTTCAGCGGTTACAAAGAAACAAAAGATATATGAACCAGGTCAGCGAAAAGTTATGTAGACTTACAACCGCTTTTATGAAAATGAGGATTAACACCTTACCTACCTAATTAGAGAATGAGAGTGACTGCATTGAAGATTTTTGGGTTCGAGGTGAAGTGATATCTCTTATGATTATTTAGTTTTTAAGCCGTTTCCATGCTACTCTTTTTTCGTTCACGGGTTCACGGATCCTGGACTAATTTAGGCAAAGGTGGCGCAACAATCCGGGCACGATTAGAAAGGTGCGAGTTCGATGTGAAAGAAATTCAGTTTATTTAAAAGTAACTTGAGGTCAGGAAGCAATCACTTTCGACGAAGAAATTCGATAGAAGATAGATTAGAGAGAATGGCGGAATTGGAGAGATGACGGCATAGCGCACTACCAATCGGAAGGCCACGGTTCGAAAAATATTTAAATGTTAAAGAAAACTAATTTAAATAAAAAAATTAAGTTAATTTTTCTAATTGCTGTCGTCCCTCCACAGAAAATGTCGTCCTCTCCGAGCGTATTTCTGACATGAAATAAAGCTGATCATAAAAAATCATCAACCGTTCGGAGGCGGCTTAGAATAAACTATAGCTCCATCCATTTGTTGGAAAAACATCATATTACATATATATATGTAACAAAAATCTCAAAATATACAAACCTTTCGAGTTTTCGTATTGGTATATATACCATGACGGGAGAGCCCAAAATCTGATATTTTTAGTGTTTTACGATCGTCAATGAGAACATTACGCGCAGCTAAATCTCTAAACAAATTTTAAACCAATTAAAAAAATTTCAAAAAAAAAATGTACGAGTATTCAAAATTGCTTTTACCGATGCGTTATCTCTTGCTCCTCCAAGAATCGCATCCCATTCGCAATTTGTAATGCGAAATTGTGTAATTCTTTATGATCTAAAATATATTCGAACGGCTCATTATAGTCCTCGTCCTCAATTATTGTATAGGTGGCTGCAACAAAAAAAAATATAAAAGTTTTTCTTAAACTCTTTAACTCTCTTTCCAAAGTACGAATCGGGACTTACTTTCAGCAACAGACGTCTTTGGTTGACGTTCAGTCTCAAATTCACTATCCACTGATTGTGTGGATAACTTTAATTCAATATATTTTACTTTCGGTTTTGATTGCTCGCTCTCTTGGTCTTGATTTGCGTACGGAACGTGGCCATTCGGTTTGAATTTTGTGGAACTCTGACGAACAGTACGTAGGTAAGTTAGCTGAAGAGTAAACATAATTAATAAATATAAAAAAGAAATTAATATAAAATGTATTAAAATAAATATATATGTATATGTATGTATGTATGTGATTACCAAATCCCCACGTCCCACAAACTCCATGATCATCAAATATGGCGCACGTATGGTACAACAACCGTAAAAACATACAATATTATTGTGCCTACCGACGCCTTTTAACATTTCGATTTCACCAAGAAATTCAGCCACTTCATCTGAAGTTGGATTTTCTGCGGAAGAAAGTTTTTTGTTTTTAATCATTGTATATATTCAGTATAATAGCTCTTCGTATGGCTCTCACTCTTCAATTGCTTCACTGCAACCACTGTTCTGCCACGCATCCTTCGTAAATTTACAGCAACGGCCTTATAAACTCGACCGAATGCGCCTTCCCCAACTTCGGGACCGATTTGTATAGCACTATGGGGTATTTCGAATACATCGGCCAAACCTTTTGATTGAGCTTCCTGATGGGTGGAAAAAATTTTGTTTGAAAAAAAACAACCTCAACAACCTCAGAGTCTGTTTAGAAATCAAAAAAATATATATATTTTTTTACGATGAGTCTTTTGTATGACGTCAGGGGCTGTTTTCGGCGTTAAATGACAATAAGAATTAGCCTGTAACAAAATTAAATTACACAATTGCACATCAGCTCACCGGACAGAGCTAGTGTATCGATGCATCTTGAGTAACATGAGGAATTAGTGAGAAGCAGGTAGTCAGCTAACAGGCAACTATGATGTCAGTAAAGAGACTGTCCTTAGCCAAGATTTATAGAATACAAGGTTACTACAAGAGCGAAATCATATGTTTAAGGACGAAGTTGGTTCGATTTTGTGAGTTGTCGAAGATTTTAAAATAAATTTTAATCTATAAAACAACTTAATATTTTGACTATAAAACTCTAAAACTTTGCATTAAAATTTTTTAAAATTAATAATAATCACAGTTAAAACGTTTTGAATAGTTTTATGTCGAGAAAATTTATTTTACTTTTCAAAATTTTTTAAAATTTAAAAATTACTGTTATTTTTTAACAAAAATTTCTATAGCTCGAAACCCTAAAATTTGGTGTCATGTAATACAAATGGCATGAGAAAATAATGTCAAACACCTTAAAAATTATGAAAGTTCAAAGCGAACTCGCAATATTGTAAGATATTTGGATATTTCCACTACCTTCTTAAGGGCTTTTGGGAGATGGATCCATATTTTGTGAAAAAATCGTGTTTAAAAATTCGAGGCGGTGAAAAAGTGTGCCATGGGATATTGTGGAAAAAAATAAAAAAGTGATTTATTCATATTAACATATCTTCAAAAATTAAAACAATAATGCCATATTGTAGAATATTCGTTTACCGCTCCATTTTAGGAATTAAAGTATACAATTTGTTGTGCTGAAAACCTGAAGTTTGCAAAAAAAAAATGGACTTACTTACTAAGGGGCAGACCTAGTGTGAATTTTCAAAAAAAACGATAATTCATATTTCGGTAGATTACACCTTTAAAAATAACATATTAAAATTTCAAATCGATAACTCAAATAGTTTTTGAGTTATAGCAATTTAAAGTGCAGCCGGTCGCGTTTTTCTCGCAACAGCATTTTCCGAATTTGCTGCAGCGATTACTAAAAACAAATGATCCAATCACTATCGAATTTTTTTACATGTTCTATATATAGTTCTCCGTACAATGACCTATCGATTTTTGATCTGATCAAAAATTCGAATTTTGGCAGGCCAAAAGTGACCAAAATTTTGGGTAAAATTCGACTATTTTTTTTAAACACCGCCATATTGTCAATTTTTGATTTTTTTTTATCGTGGATCATTGTAAAGACAATGCATACATACAGATAATTTTTTATTTTAGATTTCATCCACGGAGAAGGCCGGAATCACTGCAGCAGTGAAGGAACTGTTTTTTCGCGCCGTTGGAGATCGATTATAACTTAAAAAATATTTAATTTTTATCTTCAAAAATTTCACTTTACATTCTTGAAACATGTATAAATATATTCTTAAAATTTTGAAATAATTGATAAAGTATTTTTTTTTTAAATTTCCAAAAATCACCTTTTTTAAGGCCATTACACTAGGTGTGCCCCTTAATTTGTGTAATTATTTGGTGTTATTCGGCCACCTTGACGTTGGTTTTTCAAAACTTTGCACAGTTGCTTATTTTTCGCTAATTTTTGCGACTCTTTTTGAATAAAAAAGTGGCCAAATATGTGATTGTGGTGGCGTTAGTACGTAAAATCAGAAACAAAATTTTTATAATTTGTGTTTTCTTCTGTATAAAAAAATGATTACCATATTTACATACGTGTTCTTAAATATTTTTGAAAAAAAAAAATTTCTTTTATTATATAATATCAAATCAATTTATTATGCAATATATATGTGACGAAGTTAAATCGGTAATGTCAAGGGTTGTCGTGAGCTTGTATTCTATAAACCTTGGTCCTTAGCTCTTCTGTTCGGTTAAATAATTTCAGTAGGAATTAACCACAACCAAAATGTCGAAATTGAGCTTTCTCGGTGCAAAGTTTTCTCAGTTTTTGCCTCACCGAATGTGGCTCAGTAAAAATTCGTAGCAATTGTTACTGCCATCAGCTCACCGAACAGGACTTTTGTGTCAAACAAAATGAGCCACGAAAAGCTCAAGTCTTTTATTCACTCAAAATTAACAATTTCGTAGTTTGACATGAAAATATCGCAAATTTAAATAATTTACTAAAATTTCTTACTTGCACATATTTATCGACATAATTAACGTTGTCCTGCATTCTGAAATTAAAAAAAAATGTAGATTTCAATTTATTTAAAAAATCTTGAAACTTTTGGGGACTCCACTATTATTGTTCAGAAATAAAATAAAAAGTATGATACTTACTCAACCACAGTGGAAAATGGTGATAGACAGAGTTCGTCCTTTTGCAAGACACTCTCTTGAAATTTAGCCATTTTATTTCGCTTCCAAACACAAAATGCCAGCGATAATATGATAATGCTGAGAAAGAATGCACTGAGCACGATTAACGCAATACCCTGTAGAAAACATTATTCGAAAGATAAAATATTGAAAAGATTAACTGACAGCTCATATTGGTACAATAAATTCAAAGAAACGATTAAGCGATCTGTATTTCATCAGCTTAGAAACCAGTGTCCATATCTACTTGGGACGAAATCTCATAAGGCGAAAGGCGACAGATGTCCATAATTAAGCAGGGTCAGATCATGCCGTACAACGTTCAAATAATTTATGGTTTTCATAACTCCATAACCATTACCTATTTTCCAGAGTGCGGTTAACTGGTGTTTCTTCTGTACAATAAGAAAGCGAGCGCATTGAGTGTGGTGGTAAATGAGGACAAGAAGGAATCGGTCTTCGGGTCTTGACTTTCACAACGCTATAAACTGTCATAACTGAAGTCGCCGATAATATCAACCAATTAGTAACCGGCATAAACACCACCAACCAACAGCGCTACCAAAAAGCGTCACTTTGAGCTAAGCGGGCAGTAAAAAAGTAAAGTCCTCTCTCGAGTTAATCGTCATTCTTGTTTTGCTGTATGATGTAGGAGCGTGTACGATACCGTCATGACATCCGTTGAGTCAGCGCTAGGAGTTTTCGATACCAAAAGGTTTGGGGAAGATTTATGGTTCTACTGTACGAATACCCTGATTTAGTTCAGTGAATCAAAGACAGCGCTTATGCTAGCTAAGGCATGTCGTCTCTAAGGTCGACTCGGCAACGCACCAATATTAAAAGTTTTCGATGCAGTGCCCGCCGTTGAAAGCAGTGAAGACCTACAATTCCTTGGAAACATCAGGTGGAAAAATCAGGTTTCACTTGGTGCCTTCAATTTGGCTTCGAACTGCAAAGAGGAGGAACGACTGGCGCGCTCGGAACTCGGTTAAAATCGCATAAGCAGTAACGACGCCAATTAAGAAGAAAAAGATTGAACGGGCCCCTATAAACTTTCTCGTAATCACACCGTGAGCTGAGTGAAAACCCAGTTCGAAAATATCACTTGAATATCTCATAAAGTTAACAGTATTGCTTTAAGGTTGAATTCTAGCAGTATGCTAGTAATCTGTTGCAAGACATGATAAAGTGTTAAAAAACTGCCGTGATAGTCGTCTAATTGCACAACCATCTAGGTTTAGACTTTATAAATGTTACTATTTCTGATTCACAAATAATTCTGTAAGCTATCTCATTATGCAAGTCTTTTTAAGAAGGAAAAGTGTAGCTAAAAGGTTGTCACTTATCATCTCCTCCCGGATCCTTACACTTCACTTTGACTTTCGGGTCCTTTCGATATAGAAGTACAGTATTAAAATGGACTAGAAAAAACGAGTACTTGCTTTCCGAGTGAGCATACCGGCAGTGCAAGCTCGCAAATCAACAACCATGCAACTCAGTCCAAGCGTACGCTTTATAATTCTAGCACTGCTCTCTCTTTATGGCAACATCAAGGATGGATCTGCAAGTCTATTTGAAGGGTTTCACTTTTGTACTATACACATTCGTACTTACCAAATCAAAGTCGGTGACCTCAATTTCCTCTTCAGCTTTCAGAAAGTTGGGAACTGAAAAGCGAAGTTAGATTAATACAAAATAAAATTGAGGATTATTTTTTTTTTCTATTAAAAGTTTATACGCACACACCTGTTATATTTGTAAACAGCTCCGGACCGCTACAATGTATATCATCAATGATATATGAGCGTAATTTGAGCACAGCATTGGAGGCTAATTGCTTCTGTTTTGGTATGTGCACTTTAAAGGCTCCCTGCATATAGCCTTTCGTAGTGAGATGTGTTATATTCTTAATGGGATAGAAATGCTCGGTGATGGGTATGAGACGACCACCCCAGGATAGTGAGGGATTCGTTTGTTCGCTGATACTACATTTGCGTAGAAATAAAATTTATTTTCCATTTTCAAGTGCGCTCACATTTGAGAAGCTATTCAGAATACTCACACAAAGTATAATTGCCATGGATTGTTTGTTGTTTCGTGCTTAACAGGATCTGGCGGTTTTTCATATTGAATAGACCAATTGAGTATTATCGTTTCATTATTTGGCATGTTGACCGATGATACGACTTTGGGTAGTGCTTCAGCATGTCGGCAGGAGCAAACATCCTTTATGCAGTCTGTTAATAATGCAAAGAATTATTTTTTAATATTTCTTTTTTAATTCTTTTAATTCTTACAAGGCACTGCCACTGTTGTTTGATTTGACACCATCGCATTGGATGTTTCCACCAGCACCGTGTAATCGCAACCAAAAACGAAACCGCACTCATTTTGATCCACATGCGTCATTGGGTTTTCTGGTATAATCATCACTTCGGTTTCCTTGATTAAAAGTGAAAAGAACTCATTGAATTATTAAGTACAATCAAATTAGTTTTTAAGGAAATCAAATTCTATTTATTTATTAAGCTTAATTTCTGGGCAGACCCCAACAACCGATTTGCTAAGTCGCATAACCTTAAAAAGCTTTATGTGTGCTCAAAGGGACTTACTAACCTTAATTGCACCGTAAAGACTGCAAGGCGGCTCACTACATTTCGTTGAGTTTGCGGCAGTCACAATGACATTGTACGAAGTCCCTGTGGATTTACAAAATTAATTTCTAATTTTCTCTTGCTGGTGTTGCACTTTTTCATCTACCTTTTGGCAAGTTGTCCTCCCAACTCAATAATAATTGGACAATATCGCCCTTTTCGTGCAATGTAGAATTGACGGAAATACCTGTGAAATAATAAAGATTTTATATTACTAAAAAACACACATGAACTTCGAGGCGCGTAAAATCCGAGACCCTTCACGTAAAAAATCTGCTCTAATGAACACTTAGAAGATAGACCCCCTCTTGAAGACAACCCCTGCAAAACTTCCAAAGATCGTAATTTAATGGCATGCTCGTGCAACTCCCGACCCCTTAATTGGGTACCTAACTAGCTCATAGATACAAATACTGACTCTTGCGTTGGACGGAATAGGAACGAGAAAGAATAGGTTCATATGATATGAGCGAAAATTTGGAGTTGGATTGGTGATGGATGAATGCACTCCGGTGGATGAATGCCTGGTCACAATCCACATCAAAGTGCAGGTCTTCGTTATATCACTTTATTGCTCCCATGCACTGACTGTAGTTAAGATCAGAAGCTTTCTATGGACGCCTAAAACGGAACCTACGCACGCCACTATAAGAAAAAACGTGCTTGTCGCTCATAGCGCCGGAGTGGGCACAAGCAAGGTATCTTCGGCACAACAGTCGTAAAACTCAACATTCATGATTAAGCATCTCCAAGATACAAAGGTACGCATTCCTCGCCTCTATATAGCAAGGAACGCCCTTCAATAGACAAAATAAAGGATCGACGTCAAAAAGCTGCAATTACTGTTGGTTTTATACTTGGCTTTTACTCCTGTTTCCTTTTCTTTAACGACGAACATAGCGTTACCCACCTTCCGCTCAACCAACCAGGGGGTGCACCTGCAGGGTAATCGAAGAGACCGTTGACCTCTCATCCATTTAGTTAAAAATAAAACTTCAAACATTTTTCTGGGACAATGAAGTGTAGGCAGATTAATGAGCCGGAAACGACTTTAGTAGGAAGTGAGATTCTTAGGGTCTATTGTACAATATATCATATAGGAAAAATATTGGAATTGCGAAATGGCAATAAAACGAATTGTTCGAAAGAGCTTGACATCAACTGCGCACATGAATGGTTTAGAATGAAGAGCCACATTTAGAAGATAATTCCGAAATATAAAGGAGAGTAAGGGACCAAGATGACTGCCTAAAGGAACACCAGATATTAGTGATATTTCGCGTGATTACTCTTTACTTGCGGCCATTCAAGTACGATGAGATCCCCTTGCGAAAGGCAGATGAAAACCAGAAATAATCGAGTTTAAACTAAATAATAAGAGAGGTTTCCAAATGCTTGGCTGAAGTCAGTGTAAATAAAATCGGACTGATAAGCATTTTTGAAACCATTCTTATGTATGTCGTATAGTCGGTGAATTCTAATAGGTCGATAAGGTAGATTTAATAGCCTTGAAAATTTTGAGAATAGAGCATAGCTTTGCAATTCGCCGATCATTCATTATAGAAGATCTACATACAGATTTATTTAGTTAAAAAATATTTAGTTTGAGGGTTCTCACAAAGAGGATAAATTTTGTATAATTGAAACATTGAATATGATCGTTAAAGGGAATATATAGAAATTCAGCACAATATTTAAGAACACTAATTGGGATATTATCAGAAACGCAAGTAAAAGAGATTTTAAGGGCATTACGATGTGAGAGCACCAATCAGCTACGCAATATGAAGGAGCTGTGGTACATTAAAGCTCCCTTCGTACCAGAAACAATTGACCTATGATTACTTTCCTCGTATTTGCAAACAAAAAAAGACAGAGACTGAAAGACGCAAGTAAAAAGAGCTTGAAAAGATGGTTGACAGAAATAATAGTCAAGAATTATGGGAAAAGATGCGATGACTTACAGAAAGTTTCAAAGCCAAGGCATACTCATATAGGAAGCAAGAAGGTAATAGTCGTACTGGGAGCTTTCTAAACATTCCATTTTCAACAGTTTGGCCCGTCGTCAAGGAAAATAGCGTAACAGCAAGACTTAGACTAAATTAGGTTGCATGGTTAAGTGAGCGTTGTTCCGGAAAACGTTTAGCTAACAAGTACGTTTAGTACGAGAATCATACATTAGTTTAAGAGATTTGCACATAGACAAGTAAAAATATCCGCTACGTTAGACCACTTTGTGTATTACTTAGCACATGTCACAAATCTGTTAACTTCTTCTAGTGGGTAAACGTATGCGATTAGAGAAATTGGAGGTTTAGCCTCAGCAAACCCAAGAAAGTGGATACATCTTTCCATCCATCTCTTTCTCCAAACAACTACGATAGTGGTGAACCGGAAAAACTCCAAGTACTGCCATAAGGATCTCGCAACCACGCACGTTGAGGTGCTAACCCTCTGCGGGCTAAAGACTCAAGAATTTAACTGTGGTAAGGGTTGCCAGTCGTACGAAGCGACTTAAATCCAAAAGTTCCCGCGAAAGTCGGATGGTTATACCGGAACGATTCGGATTTTTATCTGGCCAATCAATTCGGGGAATAGTTTGCGGTTACAACAACAACAACAACATGGGCTCACCCAGTGCACGCTCAGTTGACTCAAGAGCCACCTGTTCAAAAGCAGAACTGTTGCAGCTGCGTCTTGTCAGGCATTAACGTAAATCCCAAGTATCATTAGAATCTTAGAAGATGTATTTGAATTCAAAAAATGCCTTTTAGAAGATGCCTAAGAAGCCGGTTAAAATCTCGAGCCAACTACAGTGGTTCTTCCTCATTTTTATTGGCTTTGGCACCGCTTACGCGATTATAGCCGAATTATTTAAAGCGCTGCTTGATGCTAGTTGGAAATGCCAAAGGAGTTGAGGTCTTCCTCTTCCTCTGCTTCCACCGACGGGTACTGCATCGAATACTTTCAAAGCTGTCTCTTCATTCGTTGAACTTTGTCAATATCATCATATAGCTGGTACAGCTCATCGTTCCATCGTCTGTGTTATTCGCCGTTGCCAATGCGCGAAGGACCATAAATAGTTCACAAAACTTTTCTCTCGAAGACTCCCAAAGCTGTTGACATCGTCCACGTCTCTGCGCCATATAGTAGGACGGGTATGATTAGCGACTTGTAGAGTTTGGTTTTCGTTCGCCGAGAGAGGACTTTACTTTTCAATTGTCCACTCAGTCCAAAGTAACACCTGTTGGCTAGAGTGATTCTGCGTTGGATTTCAATGCTGATATTATTGTTGGTGTTGATGCTGGTTCCTAGATAAACTAAATTACCTATGACCTCGATGTTATGACAGTCAACTGTTTGTTTGATGACAGGAGATATTTCCTATTGTCCTCGTTCACTACCAGACCCATTCGCTTCGCTACTTTACCAAGCCTGGCGAAAGCAGAACTAACAGCGCGGTTGTTGAGGCCGATAATGTTAATGTCATGGGCGTACGCCCGTAGTTGTACACTCTTGTAGAAGATTGTACCTTCTCTATTCGGCTCTGCAGCTCTTATTATTATCTCCAACATCAGATTGACAAAATCACAAAACAAGGAGTCACCCGGTCTGAAACTTCGTTTGGTACCGAACGGCTCGGAGCGGTCCTTCCCAATTCTGACTGCGCTTCTCGTGTTGTCTAGCATCAGTTTACTCACTACAGTGGTTAGTATTCGTTAAATTCTTTAGAGAATAATCTGGATTTTTATTAATAAAAGATCCACCAATACATCTGCAAAGAGTGCTAAGCACAGAACAACGCGAATTTCATAAAAGAAAAACCGACTTCTACCAAAAGGTGACTTTATTATCACAATAATAGCCAATATAGGCATTTCATTCTGGTCTAACCTCACTTTTATTATTTCAATTAACATTCATAAACAAAATAATTCAGCAGCCGGGCTAGTAAGTGTTGGCATTAGATGCTTCTACCGTGAGGCTATAACCGCGAGCTCTGACGGGGATCATTAGTAAATTAAAAATTAATGAAAGAAGTAAAAAATTGGGTTCACTCCTGAGAGGAATTTTTAGTAGAGCCTTGAGTTGTTTGATACATCAGTCATACAGAAGACTTGAAACTTTTACATTTTGGGTAATTAAAATTTGAAAACGCACGCTCAAGGGATTAGTTCTACTGTGTCAATTATTATATATACTATATTATATATATATATATATATATATATATTGTCAATTAATTACCTGTTATTCTGCCAGACCGAGCGAAGCGCTGTAATATTAAAAAGTATGTGAATAAAAATGTTGTTATCTTTTGAAAATTTTTGCAATAAAAAACGAATTTATCATTTATTACCACTGAATATTATATTTACACATACCAACAGGCATTCACATTTTATTTTATAACTCCTTTATTGTATTTAAATAAGCTTATAATTTGTTTTAAAAAAAATCGTATCGTTTTCCCCTTTAAACACACATACGAGTCCATGCATACCATTAGTATTGTCTTTACACATTCGCAAATATTTACCTTAGCAGGAGCGCCAGCAGCGATGTCTATGCTTGTTGTTGTGAATGTTGTTATCCGCAGGGCGTCGGCGGCGACGGCAGTCATTAATATGGAAAACAACAAGACGGCATAACACTGCGTAGACAAGAGTTTCGAACACATTTTCCTTCGGTCGTGTTAAGAGCACATTTCCTTTTAGGACTTTGTAATGTGAAGGGCGCAAAGAATTTTTCTGAAAAGCAAGAAACAAGAAAAATTTAATTAAAAATGGATTTAAAAAATCTCTTTTGAAGTTCTAAAACTAAGTTTTTGAAGACATAATAATAAAATAATTGTTATTGCATTGGTGCAAGTTGCTGTCAACAGGACTTCTGGAGCTTTGAGCGACGGCTAAAAGAGTGAAAGCTTCAATTACAGACTCTGTTCACCAGGCGCCAGTGGAAGCAGTCTTTTGAAATGATAATTAGTGTGTTCGGCGAGCTGCTGGGCGGTAACAATTGTTGCTGAATTTTATTGCATCGTGTTCGGTCAGGCAAAAAGTTAGCAAAATTTGTACTGAGAGAGCGCCATTTTGGCATTTCCTTACCTGCTAATTCTTACTGACATCTCTCAACGAACAGATCTAATGTGAAGAACGTCATAATAGAAAAAGATCAGACTACTCGCTCTATATAGGGTTTTCCAATAAAAGTGAATTTATTTCTTTAAAAAACAAACATACACTAACTGTTAAGCAAACTCAAATGTGTTTTATTTACTGTGAAGTACAATCGATACAATTATGTTCGGAATATAACATCATTCAAATGGGCTCCACGACTTCTTTTGCCGGAGCGAAATCGATTAAACTCATTTTTGAGCTCTTTTCCACTAAATTACGTTGTACGTCATGAATAGCACGTTCACTATTGACTTTCAAAGCTTGAAGAGAGTCTGTTTTATCGTTAAAGAACAATGACTTCAAATAACCCCACAAGAAGTAGTGGAATAGTGTCAAATCACAACTTCTTGGAGGCCATTCAATGACACAATTTCTTGAAATAATCAAATCTCCAAACTTTTCTCGGAATAATGTTGCACTTAGTGTGTGACTCCGTCTGGTTGGAACCAGATTTTGTTAAGATCAACTTTTTTCACTTGTGGCCATACAAAGTTGGTTATGATTGATCTATACCGTTCTTCATCGACAGCTGCATTTCGAAAGAAGCACGAATCGATGATTCCATCAGACCAAAAACTCCGCAAAACTGTCAACTTAGGTGAATGTAAGGTAGTTCATGAATAATTTGTGGATTTTCTTCGCACCAAACACTAAAGTTTTGTTTACTTCCAGCACCACTCAGATGAAAGTGAGCCCCATCGGAGAAGATGATTTTCTTAGAAAAATTGTTATAGTTTTTACGTTGTTGGTGTTGTTGTTTTTGTTTGTAAACGCTAATCTTGTTGAAATTGTAAACATTAATAAATATAATAAAAAAAATGACTGATCATGGCATATTGAAAATGGCCAAAACGACACTGACAAATGCGTCTCGCTAAAGCATTAAAAAAGAAAAAATAATTAATATTATATTTTTAAAAATAATAACTATTAGAAATCTCCTAACGACTACAGTTTGAGAGCATGCCGCGTGGTATGTCCGGCCTCTTAATTGGAAAGGGTTCACCAACTGTTTCAGCGTTTTAATTTAAAAATAAATAAAATTAAATATTAAAACATTTGAATCAAATTAGAGATAATTCAAAAAGCTTTTGAAGAGCTTGCAACCTTCAACTTATTTAAAAATTTTTTTTTTTACAGATTGTGACTAGGTGGAAACACTAAAAAATCGAGTCTGATGCTACTAAAATGCAGATGAAAAAAATTTAAAAAATACACTAGTCATTCGAGGACTCTAATGAAGATTTTCGTAGAAATGCTCCACCATAATGTACTGTCTTGGTATTGCTAAAAAGAATCAAATATCCCCGAAGGGAACGTGACTAACGAAATCGACAGTAACTCGTGATGGTAGACAGCCACCGCTCAATCTACTCCCAGTGTAATTAACTGTAGAATTTTACAAGGGCATGTCCTACTATGGTGCCAATTTCCTCTCTACTACAATACTTTTCGTTAGTCTTTTCTATTGTGCTGAGTAATGTGCCATTTCTATAGTACTTAGGCATCAGTCGATTCGATAATATCAAGTCGCCTTGTACTTCTGTAATACCAAATCACTCAAATCAAATCGACAAGAGCCGAATCGGTGAGATTGGAAGCGGTAGATATCTCCTTTGCTTTGTTCGAGCACATTTGCTTTTAGACAGTCTTTTCTGGAGGGAGTTTTAAGGACTTTCTTTGTTGGTCTTCCTCTGAACCAGAACTCTCATTATTAATTGAAATGAAATCTGAATTATACAAGCTCTGCAACACACTATTGTACCAACTAAGAGCTAAAAATATGTACTCGTACATATCTTACCAAGAAGTACAGCAAAGAAGTGACTCATATTTGTATCATGACTTTGAAAATCGAAATTATAATGATTCAAAAAATGAAAATATTTAAATATTTAAGTAAATGTAAATGAAAAATAATTTATAATAAGCAAAACTCAAAAGGTAAATATCCAAAATTGCCATTTAACAAGGGAAATTTTACATTACCATTAGACAGAACTGTGGATGTTAGCATTACCAAGGGATAGCTTAGTAAACAGTTGAATAGATTTTGAAATTTTTTAAAGATTCCACTTTTTCCCACACGGCCAGCTTTTCATTTATATGTATATAAAAGGTTTTGCCATAAATGACTGACGGATCAAAACACAGCCTAACCCACTCGCCGTAGAGGCCAACTTTGAAGCCCTGATCTGTGTATGACATATCCACTCGATAATAAAGGATTTATTATGAAGTTGACGTGGAATCGATCTGCTTCGAAAATATTTAAGTTGATTTACATAAAATTTGGTACAGTAATATTTTCGGGCCCAAAGCGGTGGCAATACTTTTTGTTCCGGAGAGTGGGCGCGGGATTGATTCGTTGATTCCCTTTGGTTTTTTATGGGACACATATATTTTTTTTTTGAATAATAAAAAAATTAATCATGTAATAAACCTAATAAATCTTATAAGAACCATACTAAAATTCCATGAGGACGAGATCGTGCGCAAACTCTAGTAAAAATAAGAAAATACACTTTGCTCCATGTCGGCAAACTCATTTGAGCTACTGTTCATTACTGTTGGCCATATACGAGTATAACTTTGGTCTAAGTAGGTATGTAAATTCCAGTTTTTTTTTTGTCATTTAATACAAGACAAATTACGATTTGTACCCCCACCAAATTAAGCCTACGCAAACCGAGAGTAAATTAAATGAATAAATGCTCATCAATTAAAGTACCATAAAAGTTCTAACAAATAATGTAGCATTTAAGTACACCCACAAAATAATACTTATACACATACATATGTATATACGAGCATAATAAACTCATCAATAGAGAACCAGGGATAAAAAAAGGCCACCTGTGGGGGGAAATGTCATCGTGAGGTGAAAAATGCGGGTTGTGGTTTAATGTTAAATGTTTGTATATGTATATGTACGTATTTAGATATGTATGTAAATATTTGTACAAATACTCAGGGCATCCGTAAGATACTTTTTAACTGTATAAATATGTAAGGTTGTGTATTTATATTTTCGTTATTGTAGTCAACGAAAATCATTGACTTGGCTTTCTGATTCCAGATGTTTACTTGGAATTAACAGTGGTATATATATAGCAGATTTTTCATATACACGAGGGTTGCCTTTTTTATTTCGGATTTGGGGAGCTTACCACTCTGGTTTAGGTATCTCCGAAACATGCGTTGTGAACACATCAACCGTTTCTTCATGTTGACCTCTCAGGGCCTGGCGAAAACCACTCCGTGTAGCCTGCGTCGGTCTCTGAGGACCGGTAATAGAATTTTCAAATTTCAAGGTAGAAGTAAATACATAATTTTTTTTATAAAATTTACAGTTTGTGTGAACACAGTGTTATAGATGTATTTTTAAATTTTTTGAAATTATTTATTTTTTTAACTGGGAAAATCTAGAAGAAATTTGTAATGGAGCCTTCTTATTTACGTAATTTAGTAATCTCAACGAGATTTCATTTATTCGTTACGTGTCTCTAAGTATATCTTTTTTTTTTTTTTTTTTTTTGAATGCCTTTAAATATGGGGGTTTTGACCTTAGCCAGCACGAAAGATTTTAATGAAACTGGTAAAATGGTAAAGAAAGGTGTAAAAACAGAAAATTTACAATTTGGTTTTTCGATACTTCGCGAGTGGATTGGGTTCTTCGAACATCTGCTCCGCTGTTCGTTTAAATTCTGCAAAAAAGTGGCAAGGTCGAACATTAAGCGAGAAACTATTAGTTTCGGAAAATAAAAGACGCATTCAAAAAGAATTTCAAGATAAAATTAGTATGATTGTTAACCGATCGCAACCTGGCTTTGGGAATACTTCCAGGCGTTTCATTAAAAACCCCGAGGTGTCAGCAGCAATTACTAAAGTTGATATAAATTTGATAAAAAAAAAGTTGCATAGAATACTCGTAGTTGTCTCAAGAGGGCACGATATCGGCGTACAGAAGTTTCTTGACTACGCTTCAAATAAAGGAAAATATTAAATTGAATGTTATCACTTCACAAATATTTCACCTATTCACCAAAGATAATAACCTACGCCCGGTTACCAATCGGTCAATTATCCGAAGAGGCTCCGAAAGAGTTTAACTCTTTTAGAGAACACTTTTCTCGCAAATGTAGCAGAAAAAAGCAAATGAAGACATATTTAACAGACTTTTAAACAGTTCTGACCCGGTTATATTCACCACGAAAAAGTGCTGAGTTTACCGGAAGAAGCTTTAGAATGAAGTTGATTATGATGTTGATGAAGACGGTGATCACAATTCAAGCGAAGATGATGAAGTTGCAGTTTATATATTTTAAATAAAATGTTAACCTCAAATAAATTAAATTTGTTGAAAACCGAGTTTCACTTTTTTTATTTTTTATGATTTAAAATAAATTGAATGATTTTATTGCTTTAATTGCATTATTTTTTACTTCTTTATGATTAATTAACTAAAAAAAAATAAATTTTCCGTAACTAGAAAGCTTGTGGAAATTAAACTCCATTTTGAACGCCATTTACCCCACTGTGCGTGTGTTGAAATTAAAAAAAATTAGTCT